CCAAAAAACACGAGCCAAACACACACACACACATGCAGCAGTGATATTGGGCTGCTCGTACTGCTGAATGGCAATCATTTGTCGTATCCTCCTCAAATAAATCCAGCTGCTATCGCTTTCAGCTGTGATGTTTCTGTGAGAAACAAAAAAAAACAAACAAAAAAAAAAAAAAAAGTGCAACAAGAGTATAAGAGGACGACTTACCGACAACCATGAGCGTGAACTCGAAACCTCTCTTCACAGATTTTCTGTACACTTGGTTTGGGAGATTTGCAAAGCCCACGTAGCCCTCCAGGCTCTTCTGTTGCTGTGGACCAAAAAAACAAAAACATAGCTGATCATTTACTCCAATGGTCACAAGATCATACTGGTAAAGTGAGCACGGATTGAGAACTTACAGCTGGAGACGGGCAGACAGGTTGGTGAGAAGACAAACGCAATGAGGGAAGGCAGCCATCAAAGGCGGGTCCACGAGGCAGGAACGGAAACCAGAGAGACAAGAACCAGATAACATAAAAATGAGTAGAAGTACACAGCAATGACCTTTGACACATCAATCTGTCTCACTGAGTTACTGCAGGAACAATGGAAACACTTGGATGTGCTTCTCAAATGACAGCAGACATAAAACACAAATGTACTTTGAATCTGGAGAACAGATTCAAAGTACATTTAATACAAGGTCAATTTTTATTTATTTAATTCTTAATCTAATAAACCTTTCTTGTTAAGTACTGGATAATTTTACCTCTTAGGGATGTGTTACAAATATTAAAATGTGAGAGGGGACAATCATTCATTGGTATAGAAATAGGTCACAAATAATAACGGATCACAACTAGATTGTTCTTTTAGATTTAATGGCTCACAAGCCAAAAAAAGTCTTCAGCCAGTTGTTTTCAGTCCAGAGGGTTTTCAGTGTGTGATACTGTGGGTTCCCCCTACACACTAAAAACCCCTGAAAAACCCGGTGTATGACAAGCGTGTGAGTTAAAGGCTTCAGTGAGTGAACATCTTTTAAACTGTTAGCACGTCACAACTGTACTACAGACCTACAGTAGAGAAACTGTACAGCATCAACGAGCTGTCACTTCCTGTGTGTTTATAGGAGCAGTCAACAGTTAATGTGAGCGCTTAAGATGAAGCATCCTCCACTCCTCGCACTGGTCTCATTGCAACACACACACACACACACACACACACACACACACACACACACACAGCAGAGTTGTCAAACATTCAGTCTGAAACAATGTGCAAACATGACCTCATCTCTCATGTGAAGGGTTATGCTTAAACAAAGACACTACACAAATAGTGACAAGACATGCAAGTCACAATTCCTGGCTTTTTGCATTGAAGATGATGCGTCTGGACAACAGTGTGTACTGTCACATACAGGGCTAGAAATACCACAAGCACGTGCTCATATAGCAGGTGCCCGGTACTATCCACAAAAAAAAAAAAGAGCAGTTCTAGTCTAGCTTCTCTGCGGTAATTGCAGTCGTTCAGATTACATTGTCAAATGTGGAACAAGCTCCACTCTCTCCGACATCTGTGTCCGCAGCTCCAAGCCAGTGTCGCTGACGAATGTCTCACAGATGGAGAGTTAACAGAATATCCCAATAAAACGTATAAGGCAAGTTTAAGATGAAAAACACTCGTGTTACACTGACGGATGCCACATTTTCATCACCAGGTATTGTGTTGAACTGCTTATGATGCAATGTTATCCCAGAAGATAATCACTCATAGGCAGCTGTTGCGATGAATGTTACTTGTCTGGCAGCTGAACTAGTAGGACTCGTTGTGGCTAATTATCAGCTTCGTGTGAGGCAAGAATAGCGGGCGTAGCCGTGGACAAAGCTCGCCGTATGTCGTGGGGTATTAATCAAAATGTGTATTTAATGGAACAAGTATCTGCCGGTGGAACAAGAGCCACATATCACCGGAGAATATATTCATGGCGATAAAAGAAGAGTGGAAATATCAGTACTTTGGTGAAGGGTCACATAATAACTTGATGAAATTATTCATATGAGAATCTCTACAACACAACACTAAATAGATCTCATTTTGGGATTTCAAAAATCGAATTTCAACCGCGAGTCTTTGGCTTAAACTGATATGTGAAGGCATGATGTCTAAATACAACTTGCAACCTATTTCAATACACACAGCATTGAAATGTCAATAATTCATTCACTGCAAGAGAGCAAACTGAAGAGCTCATCTATATTCATAGAACGATAACTACATCTAGTCAAAGCTGGACCACAAGCGTCCGAAACAGACTTAGTTACACTTTGTCTTTGCTTTTAAACATCGCTGTAAAGATAAGGCCGATTTAAATTAGACCTGTGGTGTGACCTCAAATAGGCCGCGTACAAGCCTCTCACTGCATATAGAGCATCTCCTCCATTGATGCCCTTAGGAATAATCAGGCTGAACTAGTCACACCAACACCAGAACAAACTCACACACAGCTCTGTCATCACAGACGTGCCTCTTGGTATTTGCCTGCCACGCCATCTGACACTCTTCTTTCTCTGTGGCTGAATGCCTGACCTGCCCATCTGTGCTATGTCATTGCCTCTATATGCAAACAGCACAGACAATGTGCCACTTGGCTCTCTGACTGCAAGACACCACCGATTGTATTCCCTCCGTGATAGCCTGAAATGCTTAATCCCTGCATGTGCTTGTACTCTTGTCTTGTGAATGGCAACATGGCGAACTGTAAGGTTGTGTGGCTTTGTTATGGTTGTAGGTTACATCCAATTAGATTAGAATAGCATGAGTCGGACTGCAGTGGGCTTTACTTTGATCACATTAAATAAATTACGTTACGACCCACCAGCAAGTGCTAAACAGAGAATGTATCTAGGTATTTATGTATCCAATATATCTTAATGCATCTATGCATTTTATGCATCTAATGTATCCCTTAACCTCAGCTAGTTATCCAGTAGTATTTCTGGCAAACGACGTGAACAGTCTCAACATGTTTGTGGTTGGTTTCATTGCAGCAGCAGCAGAGTTTACACCTCTCTCCTGTAATGAGCTTTCTTTGTGCAGCTACTGACGATAATGACAGAAACAGGAAATGCCATGCTGACGTATTAACCGACTATCGTTAACAAGTCGACGTTCAAAACTAAACGGTATTTACCGAGCCCTCAGCCAAACCCCATTCATAAATCTGGAGATATTACTCTGCTGGAATGTTTACTTTTAGCGCTACCGACTGAACGTTGTCCTAAAAAAAAAAAAAAAAATCATTGTTCGCACTCGTTAAGAGACACTTTTCAAGTCGGCATACGTCGAAAAACACAACGTCACAACTAACGTTACAGCTACAGAAATATAGACTCGGGTGAACTTTACACGCTAAAAGAGGGAAATGTTGTTTGTTTGTTTTTTTTAAACGGAGGAAACTTACCCATTATTCCGCCGTCTGCTTCACCAACCAATGCTTCTCTGCCTGACATATTGCCTCTCTCTCTCAAACTCAGCACTCAACTCTGTAACGACCGCTAAAGCAGCAGCAGTAGTAGTTCAACCCAGAGCCGTTTAAAGAGAGTCGCGTCATCTCCGTTCACTGCTTTTTTTTACAGCAATGGCGGCTCATGAAGCTACGGAAGCCCATTTACGGCAGTAAAAAATAAAAAAAGATGAAAAGTTAGACTTGATAATAAAAATAACTATTATATAGATAGAAAGTTGAAATTATACAGGATTTTTTTTTGAGGAATGGGGGAATTAAATATTGATATTAAATATCATATATTATTAGCTAAATATAAGATTGGGGCTTGTGAATGTAGAGGTGTGGATGTAGGTGATGGAATAAGCATATCAGAGTACGAGGCATTATACGTATGTTGATCTATAGGAATATTCTAAATCAATTCATTTATTGACTTCAATTCTGTCCCTCTGTTTTTATACCGATTTCCACCAATATCTACGCATGCAAATCTCCCGCCAAATACTTCCCTGAAACTATCTGACTCGTCTACGTCAATCACGTGACAATTAAGCATTGTGCGCTTCAGTTGACGCGACTCTCTCTTTATATGGCTCTGGTTGTAACAAGTGGGATCGTGGGATACGCACATTATTGGACGTAATGGGATGTGATTTACGCAAGAACGTCAAAGCAAAATGCGTAAACTGCTCTTGGAGAATACCGACTGTGATGCCTCGAGAGATTTGCATAGAACCAAAAGTTACAGACAATTACGTCATCATGCTACAGTTAGTTATAACCTAATACCATCTAATAATATGAACTAGGAAAACAACCAAGTAGATATGACCGGTATGGGAGGAATAAAGACTTCCAAATGTTTACGCTTGTCTCTGACTCCTGGGAAATGAGACAGCAGTGCCATCTAGTGGACATTTACATTAAATACAATTTACAATTAATTTTGGAACTAACCTGGATAATTCAAATCACAGAGATCAAAAAGAAGCCCATCGTTTTTTTATTTACATTTAAATAGTTTGGTATTAAGAGAAGTGATGGCAGACAGTTGGAAAGCTGATTATTGCTCTGTTCTGGAAGTGGAGAGAAACAAGACTTGATGAAATGTCCAACAGCTGTGAGAAGTTAGTGAACTCATTCCATTGCTGGTTTTTGGAAAGTTACAAATGCTTTCAGAAAAAAAACAACTTCCAAATCTGGGGAGAGAATCTGAATAGGAACCACAGGAATCTACATAGAGGAATGATTGTAACAAGGCATCTCAAAAACCTACATTAGGAATTTAAAATGCAGTATATAATTATGAAGATATAAGATGTAGAATAGTGCATATACAACATAAAATAAAAGAGTAACTCAGATAAGCACAGTGTTTTATTCAGTAAATCCACAATGACCGTTAGTGAGTGAAAGTGTGCGAATGTAAATCCATCTTGATGAGATATTTCACTCTGGGCCGAAAGTGTTGAACCGACCGACGGTCAGAACGAGAGAAAGCAACAAGGACGGATGGAGAGATACTGTACAGTGGATCTACACAGAGCTGCTGCACTGCACGGGATTCTGGGTGTTTTTTGTTTCTGTCAAAGAGCAGAGCAGACATGAACCTTCCTACGCAAGGCAGCAGCAAAACAAAACAAAAAAATCAATGCTCAGAGCTGCTTCACCGAGCTGCATATACGTACACGACGACAACCTCTGGCTGTGAAATAAAATGAAATGGAGTGTCGCAAAGAGGGGAATGAGCGTGTCACATCCATTATATGAAGCTGGCAGCTGATGTACACAAGGCTTTACATGCGCAATCTGTGTCTCTGTCTGCTCATGTGTCATTATATGCACAACTGATGAGGATGTTGTGTTGCTCTTGCGGATGCTGGAGCTGTTGAAGACGCTCAAAAGACTGTAAATGATATAATTACACTGCTTGATAAATATTCTTCATGGTTTCACAGTAATAGTGAAAGGAAATATTTGCCTTCATTTTGTAAATGGAGCTTGTTATCATCTAGAAATAGACTTTGTTACAACGGATAAACATGGAACGTGTTCCCGTACAAATAAAAACACAGTGTTTCTCTGTGAATAGAGTTATTTTATGAAAATATGTGCTTGTGTTTGACGAATACTCGGTGGCACCAAAGACTAGAATATTGTGCTCATATGTTTAGTGTGTCTACATGTCTCTTCCTTTAGTGCTGCATATCTATACTTTGTTTTATTGTATTGCCTTTTTATTGTTTTATTGTAATCTAATTGTGTATACACATACCATAGACCGTATGGCTATTGCATTGCATTGCATTTGATTTCACAGTTACATTTTATTTGAAATGTTCACAGGTCACCTGATTATTAATATTGCTTTATGTTTGGCTTTTGTAAATAACACAGAGATTGCTGATTTCAATAATATTTGCAGAAAGAAATGCACTTAAAGTGCTGCTTATGTGGCAGAATGGCCTTGTCAGAGCGCTATGTTATTAGTTTTTAATGAGGTTGCTGATGTAGTAATGTTTAAGCAGCATTTTAATATTGCTGGTTGAGGTGGAACTACTTTATATACTGTTGGGGAATTAATCTATAATATATGTTTGCATTGAATTTCATCAGGCGATCATATATTTTGTAGGTAAAATCTTGATCTTCGACGTATTTATTACCTACAGATAAATGTAGTGAAGTAAAGTTATAAAGTACAATTAAATCGAGGCACTCAAGTAAAGTGCAAGTACCTCAAAACCTGACTTAAGTACAGAACTTGAGTAAATGTACTGTGCTGTATGTGCTGGTATGTCATTATCCTCGCTGCTGCTTGGTCCTCAAGTTATGGCATAACGCACACACAAGGTGTCAGTGTAGCATGGTAGCAACACGTTTTGTGAATAATGATGTAGTTATACAAGAAAACTCTGACCTCACGCTTGATTGTTTTGCTGAGACGCCCATAATCCGAGCGCTGAAGAATCCCAGTGAATGGAAATGTTTAGTGAATGGAACGACCGCCATGATGGAGCAGCACGAGACTTAATACCAGCACTGAGATGAAATGACTGCACACACACAACAAAGCCATCTGTGATCCAAATAGTCCTTTTCATGAATCTAATTTCAAACTGAAGGGATGTAATTAATATTCAGCGTCACATGCACAATTCTAATTTCATCAGCAGGGAGGTAATTTGTTTTCTCACATGTTTAGGATCTCATCGGCTGAGATGGAAGGGTACCATGTACCTGCCTGCCGTGATGATGTATTGTCAAATGACACAACTTGTGCGAAATGCTGCATTTATTTCCCCTCCGGTGAATTATTTATCAGTGGCAGAAAACAAACAGCAACTTTCCTCATCACCAACGCAGTTTGTCTCCGACCACCTGGCCACGCAGTGTAGTCGGCGTGTGTAAGAGAGATAATGAATGGAGCCGGTGGAGGAGCTGCCTGTCATCTCGAGCAGCAGCTCATTAGGAGGGAGAAGAACGTGGGCTCTTCCTTTTGAAGCAGACACGGGAAAGCTGGAGGCCTGCAGCAGCCCAACGGTCCTCTCACTTTAAAAAAGAAAATTTAAATATACATAACCTCAAGAGAAAGGAGGGAGGACTTCATATTCCAGTCTTTTTTTTGCAGGCAGGCTTGTGTTATTATGCCAAAGAAAAGGCTGTGGATTGAGGGCCTTTATTGTGCAAACAGGCCACAGGAAATCATATATATATATATATATATATATATATATTCAATTTATCATTTTGTTTTCGTGCCCTCTGCTAACAATTTAGCATCACTGAGCTTTAATCAGGGAAATAACAAGTGAAATTAATAACATGAACCAATGCTCTGTTACATTTAGGTTATATCTGTGCTTCAGAATGAGCACGCCTAAGTGGAAAGCAGCCATCATCAACGTTATTGCTAACTCCTGTGTACGGCAAGTAAGCGTCACAGCTATGAGAAATGTCTTTTAGTTGTACTCACAAGGGAAGCCAGTGAGGGTTTGTGTTTTTGTCAAAACATGGATGTTTGTTAATTTTATTCCAGAAATGGCCCTGGCTGCCTTGTAGCTCCTGGTTTGTTTTCTGGCTACTAGCATAAGAAATAACCTTGAGAATCCCAATTTGAACTACAAACCCCGATCTCGGTGCTACGACGAAGCAGAGTGACACTAGTAAGAAACGGAGCCTTCGCAATGCCAGGAGACTGTGACCTGGTGACAGGCAGATTTGCATAGTGAAAGTGAGGCAATAGGGAACCAATCTAAAGGCTGATCATTATTCTATAGCCGTTCCATTGTGCATCAATGTTTAACTCATAATGATAAGTTGATATGGTGTGAATACATTTGTCACCGCGGTTTCAATCTGGCTCCACACTCCGCTGGCATTGCTCTCTCTTTGATGCCCCTGTGTCTGTGACATAAAAGCCCCATTGTCATCATTTATTTCCATCTGAATGTGCGCTTCTGTTTCATCTCCCCATCCACCACAACACAAAGCCATCAGCAATGTGCTGCTGTTACAGTCGCAACCTTTTCCCATTGACTTGGAGATTGAGTTCACCAAAAAAAAAGCGCCGTAGAAAAGTATAGATACACAAAGAAACAACAACATAAAGGGCTTTCCTTGAATAACTACAGTACTATTCCAGACTTCTTTTTAGAAATAATTGAACACATCCATTATTTGAGGAGATGTATAGTCTTTTCTTCCTCCTCACTTTTATCTCCAGGCTGATTTGCTGGAAGTCCAATTACTGAAAAGTGAAAATGTCCAGCCCTGAGGTTGGAATTACAGCTCTTTCACAAGACACCACCATCGAGAGAAGTAAACAAGAGCTACTGAGCTCCATTTATCAGCCTCC